CTGCCGTTTCTGCAAAAAACTCCTGGCTCTCACTTAGATGCAAAATATTTGCTGTGCAGAGTTCTGCATCATGAAGGAAATGGTTGTTCGTGCTCCGTATATTTGTACGGAGCATACTTCTTCGTCCTCATTCGCGTAAGCAAGTTGCACAGTCCAAGTTGTGCTGCTTTTGGTGGTGTCTTTGAACATTTACTGCACGTGTAAAATAAGTCTGAAGCACGAAAGTGTGAAGAAAATAAGTATATCTGCCTGCCTCCGTAGCTACGAACAAGCATGCACAGCATTTTCTCTCTATAAATATTTGAGTGAATGGGCGGCATTGAGACTTCAACTTTGTGCTGTTCATCTCTCAAATACCACGACTTCGATCGCACTTCCTCCATATTTATGGTTAAACTGAAAAAATACTTGCCATCGGATACCAATTTCGTTGCTGTTACACAAACTGATTCTTTTTACCTGTACAGCCTGCAAGACTGCAGCCGGAATGTGGAGATCCAGGTAGGCCGGGATCTTTCAGAGCGTTTTTCTTAGAAGGTGCAAGTGACTACCGATTTTTGGGATTTGTTTAAGCGTTGAAATGTCTTTGTGCTCTTCTAAAACTGTATATATTCTTTTAGTATCACGTCTTAAATTATAATTATTAAAAGGGATTGCAAACTCATTTTTCAGCAATCCCTATTTCTCGACAAAAAAAAAAACTAGCAGCAAATTACACTGCTTTTCTGTCTTCTATAAGCGAAAAACTTAAGGATTCCGAATGAACATGCTCTCTTTTCGCAGTCAGACAATCTTTTTTCACCAGGATTCTTGCGTTGTGAAGCTGCAATTTGCTATCAAGAAAAAAGTAATGGGACTGTTATACATTTGTGCATCCGATAAGTTACTAACCCAAGAGTGCATAGTCCTGATGGCTTGTTGACGTTTTAACCTTTGGTCCTGAAAGAGCCCTCGTTTAACAAAGTTACACTGATACAAATTGGCCAAGCACGCTTTTCTAAACGTTAACGCTACCTTACTGTGATATTTACGAAAAACTACCCGGATTAATTGGGTTATCACCTAACATGAAACATTAATTGCCCAAGCAGAACATTGACTTAAAGTCGTCCTGAAATATCCCATTTTAGCTCAGGCAGACTTTCTTTTTGTTCTAGGCTTGCAGAATGCCCAGGCAAAGATGCGTACATTTGATTATAACTTAGGTGGATAGTGCTCTGGATGGACAATCGAGAAATAGTTCCCGTAAAACTATATAAAAGCTCCCCTGTGGTCTTTTCGGACTTCTACGCCGTTTCTGCTTGCTGAACATGCGTTCAAATGCACAATTGCTCAAAAAATTCCTTCATTCGGCCACAATAATTCTAAATTTTTTTCGTGTAAGTAGTAGCCCCGTTGACCAATATGAACATACTGCTGTGCGCACAAAGCTCATTTGTAAAAGAGCTACATTTTTGGCCAAATACATACTCAAAAGCCCCAAGCAAAATAGGACAACGGTTTTTGTTCAGTGCGATTTACCGACCGAAGACCATGGGCTGTGTGTGGACCCGATGCGACTCTCATACAAACAACGACTTCGTTGGCATATTAAGGAATTTTGCTACAAAACATCGATCCATGGAGTGCCGATGCTTGAGCAAGCACCGAACACGTTGTACAGGTCATCTGTACTGCTTCTGTTTCTCCGTTTTGCCGTTCAAAATAACAGTCCGTAAAAATCTTAACCGAAAATGAAATTGAAGTTCTAAAATGCTGCGTGACCGAGGCGAATAAATATTTGCAGGGTCGCATGGGTTGTGTTGCTTATTAGTTGTGCCTGTATGTTTTTAATACAAGCGGTTAGTGTGGTCGCGAAATACAATCGAAATGAAAAAATTACAAATATTGAACTCAAATTTGATACAGGTAATGCTCGTTTTACACAGCACAAGGATTTCTGGTGCAGAGGCTGCACAGCAGTAACCTTGCTTTTGGTCATCCTACATCGATAAAACCGACAGTGAGCTAAAAACGCCGTTGCGAGGGGATTGAAAAAAAAATTGCTAGAGGAATACCGCCTTTTCAGAAATAGATAATATGGCTGTTTGAAATTGAGACAGGTTTCGATGAGCTAAATAAATACTTCTGAAACAGGACTTTTCTGTCCAAAAAGGTTTTATTTCTTCTCAATGCAAGAAATCTTTTTTTTGAAGATTAACATTTCGAGGAGGAATTCCCTTGACATTTTCTAAGAGAATTCTCTGTGTTTATTGAAAATTTCAGAATATGCTAATAATAGTGACTTTTAAAGTCTAAAACCAAAACTTTATCAAATGCGTTCTTGAAGAAGATATTGTGGCACTTGCTTTTTTTAGCGTATGCGAGACGAGGCAGTTTAGATATTACTAAGATCGGAATTCACATGAAAGATACGGCATCAACTTGACTTCGTAATTAGTGCTTGGTCGCCAGGATGGCCTCTGTGTATTCAAGAAGAAGCGGAGTAGGAGTAATTGTATTTTTCATTAAAGTTATCCCTGGCAAGTACAGCTGGAATGAAAGATAAATTTTAATGAAAGATAAAAATTTCCAGAACTATATTAATTACTGTTTAATGTATATAAGGATGCTAGCAACACCTCTAACATGAAATGTTCAAACCTACT